GTATTAGACTAATTTAAATACTGCTAATCGAAACGTTTGTGGTTAGAATCCAGCAGAGACTCCACGGGAGAGAGGTGAGTCTATCTACATCCTTAAATGTTTAAAACCTTGGAGGTTCCCTGGGCAGCTCCCCTCTGTCCTAGAGAGATACTGTGAGTCACAATTATAACAGCAGGGTTTGCTTTGTGTTTAGTTTTGGTATCAACAGTAATAATAATTATTATTAAAATTAACATAATATAATTATATATCATAATTACTATATTTACTATAGCATTTATCATAATAGTATGTAAGAATCATGAAAACAGTCACATTTAACCTTCCTTCACCTGTCTTGATACCAAAAGTTCAAAACTGCTCAAATGACTTGAATTTTCATGAGAAATTACCTTCCCCACAGCAGCAGACCCATTGTAGGAGATGACCCATATCCTTTGTTTGCTCCCGTTCGTGTAGGGTAGGTAATCAGGAATTTTAGCAATGCCCGGATTCTAGTAAATGAATATGGTACAGTCATTCATTTTGTTAAAGTTCTTTTGTACTTTGTATGGAAAACCAACACATCAAGCTAAGTATTGGGACATACCATGATGATGACATATTTCAGTCCATTGCTGCGTAACTCCTCGGCAAAATCAGAGAGATTATTGAAAGAACCGTTGTCATACGTGAAGTCCTTGTTTCCATCCATGTAATCTATGTCAGAGTACTGCACATCCTGAAAGATACCACCGGCCAGTCAGAGCCCATGAAAGGACCACCTGCTGATGGAAACCGTGCTGGCCCTGGCAGCAGTCATTACAACGGAAGCCTTATAGTTCCTCTAAGGGTTCAGCAGAATTACTTACCATTGTTGGGTTCTTGTTGTTGTAGTGACCCTATGAACAATGACTGTGAACTTTGCCCCATCCTGAGCCAACCTCACCCTCTCTGACATTCCTCATCCCATTGCCACACTCTGTTTATCCACCTCATCGAAGGTCTTTCTCTCTGACCTTCTACCCTTCCAAGAATGATGTCTTTCTGCAAAGACTTGCCCCTCCCCACAACATGCCTGAAGTGTAAAATGGGCAATCTCCTTTCACACAATTTACTGCCTCTGAAACCCTGTTGGAGGGTCAGCTATGATTTGGTTTCAAGACAACAGCACATAACAACAGCAGTTTTACTTACCATATGACCCTCAAAAAATGATGGTTCCTCTAAATGCTAAACATAAATACCATATGACTCCAAAAACTGAGTTTACACCCGAAAGCATTAAAAACTAGAACTCAGAGACCTGTACACTGTTACCCAAAGTGATATTATTTACAAGAACTGAAAGGGGAAACAACCCATGTGTCCATCAACAGGGGGGTAAACGATTATTATCCTTCCCATGTAATGGAATATTGTCTGGAATCAAGTTCTGAGGCATGCTTAAAAGAAGCCCACACAGTGTGTGAATTGCTGTGGGCTGAGTGCATGGGGAAATGGGGTGCTTTCATAATGGATATGGAGTTTCTGTTTAGGGTGATGAAGAACTGTGGTGTAGTGGTGATGTTTGCACAACACAGTAAATGTACTTACTGTCTCTGAACTGGAAGCTTAAATATAGTTAAAGATCTGTTGCTGTTGTTGTTATGTGCCACCAACTCGCCTGTGACTCTATATTGTGACCCTGTATATAGCTCTGAACACTGTCCTAAACTGAGCCAATCTTACTGCCTCCAACAGACCTAATCCCATTTCTCCTGTTACTGAGTCAATCCATCCATCTCATCCTGGGTCTTCCTCTCCTATGCCATCCTTCTACCCACCCAAGCATGATGTCCTCCTAGGCGATGTTTCACAATGTGTCTGCAGCCTGAAGGATCTGGCTACCTGCATGTAAAGCAGGCCTTCTCCAGAACATCTGTTGCACTCAGGTGTAAGTCACTCTGGGACATCTGTGCCATCAGAGCTCTGAGGCACCTGAGGACAGGGATGGCATCTTGTCTGTCCCTATAGCTTGAGCACTGGGGTGCTGCACCTCATTGGATGCTTATTTGAGTAAGCAAGCTGGTCATGTGAAACACCAGCCTCAAGTCAGAATATCTGATCAGAGGGGAACAGGGCCCCCTCACACAGGAGAGTTCCTGGTAGTGCAACGTATAAAGCTCTTGAACGCTAGCCAGAAGGACAAACCTGCCAACTCCTCTGAGAACCATGAGACCTCAGTCCGTTTCCATAGAGATCAGCAGTCATGTGACCCTGGCAAAGTCACTGACTTCCAGTGTCTCCACTGTACAACAGCAACAGGTGAGGTTTCCTCATGCATTTGGAGCCATCTGATAAAATCATGAAGGTGAAGCCACAAGAAAGGTGCGCCCTAACAACCGGGACAGGGTGACTGCAGGTGGCAGGTGGGGGACAAGCAGCAGGAAACCAACAGTCAGCACTGCTGCAGTCCTGGGCCGCTGCCCTCCCTCAGGAGAAGTCTGTCCTGCTGTCTCCAGATCCACCTTTACAGCTCGCCTCAACCACCATGTAGACATGCTCACACCAAAGGTCCAGAGATCCATCCCAAACTGAATTCTTTAGACAGCCTTGAGGACCGTCTGGTATCCATTTCCTGGAATTGCTATCAACTCTCAGTAATTATCTCCTGATGTGCAGCACACATCACGTGTCATAAATCCTGTGCAGCCACGCCAAAGCCCGAGCCCCTGCTGGCAGGTTGATTCCATCACTGAGTCTCCCTGTGGAGCAGAACAGAGCTGCCCCACACTTTCCACACCTGTGGATCGGTACAGAAGCAGGCTGCCACGTCTTTCTTTGTGACACGCCACTGGCGGGTGGAGCCACTGAGTTTTCAGTTAACAGTTTAGCGCTTTTGCCACAGCACCACCACAACTTCTCATGCAACCATAAAACTTTCAAAATCAGAGTGTACTAGCTCAGGAAGAAGGATAGGATGCCGTGACGAGAGGAAGTGGTCTCCCTTGCTGCGGTCATGATCATTATTATTATATAAGATCTTATTAAAATAATATATTACATTACTGTTACTTACCATTGAGTCAGAACCTTTTCATAACTGACCCTCCAGTGGCTTTTCAGACACTGTTGATTGCAGAGAGATTGACCATTGTTCTCTCACAGAGCAACTGGTGTGTTTGAACCACATGCCTTTGGGTTGGCAGTACAACTCCTTGCCACTAAGCCACCAGAGTTTATGCTATGCTATGCTATGCTATGCTATGCTATGCTATTCCTATGTTACACTGTTGTTATGTTATGCTGTTATATTATTGTACACAAGGTTGCTATGAGTCATGGGTGACTCTATGGCACATAACAACAGTATAATAGATATTATTTTGTAATGTTTTATGTTACGTTACGTTATGTTATGTTATGTTATGATGTTATGTTATGTTATGTTATGTTATGTTATGTTATGTTATGTTATGTTATGTTACATTATATTATATTCATTATTATAAGTGTCAGTGTTGCTGACCTTGTCAGCTCAGGAGTGGTTTCTTCCTGTAAAATCACAGCTGGCCGTGACAGGGTCTTCCTTCCCTTACAAGTTTCCTACAGGTGATTGACACAGCATGTCTCACTACAGCCCACCACAGGAAGCATGATCTCACTTTACTGAGGAGGAAATGAAGACTCAAAGATTTCAGTAAACGGATTCAAAATTATTGTTGTTGTTGTTGTTGTTGTTGTTATGAGCCATTGAGTCGCTTGCAACTCATAGTGATCCTATGTACAAGAGCCCTAAATGCCATTCTATCCTGTGCCAACCTCGCCATCTCAAACACACTCATTCCCACCACTGCAATCATAGAATCGATCCCTCTCATTGAGGGTCTTCCTCTCCTGCGCCGTCCCTCCACTCTCCCAAACATGATGTCCCTCTCCAAGGACCAGTCCCTCCTTGCAACATGTCCAAAATATGTTAGACAAAGCTTCAGAATCCTTGACTCCAAGGAGCACACCGGCTTCACCACTCTTCAGGACAAACCTGTTTATTCTCCTGGCAGTCCATGGTATATTCAACACTCGTCTCCAGCACCACAGCTCAAAGGCATCAATTCTCTTTCTATCATCCCTATTCACTGTCCAATTCTCCCATGCATAGCACATAATTGCGAAGACTATAGCCTGGATCAGGTGCACCTTAGTCTCCAGCCTGACGTCGTTGCTCTTCAGTACTCTTGAGAGGTCCCTCACAGCTGACTTTCCCAATGCAATTCTTCTCTTTATTTCCTGGCTGCTGTTACCAAAATGTTGATTGTGGAGCCAAGCAAACTAAAACTGTTAACTATCTCAATCTCTTCACCATCCATACTGATGCTGCCAATTGGCTCAGTGGTGAGAATCTTTGTTTTCTTGATGTTGAACTTCAATCCATATTGAAGGTTGCAATCCTTGACCTTCTGCAGCAAATACTTCAGGTCCTCCTCAGTTTCAGCGAGCAGGGTTGTGTCATCCGCATAACGCAGGTTATTGTTGATGACTCTTCCACCAATCCTGATGCCACATTCCTCTTCGTACAGCCCAGCGTCTTGGATGATCTGTTCTGCATACAGATTGAAAAGGTATGGAGACAGAATACATCCCTGATGGACACCCTTCTTGATTTTGAACCATGTAGTAGTGTCTCCTTGCTCTGTTCTGACAACTGCCTCTTGGTCCAAGTATAAGTTTCACATTAGCACAATCAAATGTTCTGGAATTCCCATTCTTCTCAGAGTCAGCCATAGTTTGTTGTAATCCATACAGTCAAAAGCCTTTGCATAGTCAATGAAGTACAGACAGACATTCTTCTGGTATTCTTTGCTTTCTGCTAAGCTCCATCTGACATTAGCTATAATATCCCTAGTACCATGACCTCTTCTAAATCCAGCCTGTACATCTGGCAGTTCTCTGTTGATATATTGTTCCAAACGTTTTTGGATAATTTTCAGCAGAATCTTGCTTGCATGTGATATTAATGATATTGTTGGATATTTTCTGCACTCTGTTGGGTCACCTTTCTTTGGAATGGGAACAAATATCAAAATTATATGCAATTAATTTTAGAGGAAAAGCTAAAAATCAGAGGTACATACCTCTAACTACAAAAACTGCTCTCTCCATGATGGGACAGGAAATTAAACCAGCACATTCCTTCAGATTTTGTGTTTATGTCATAATTGATCTGTGGCTAAATACATTTTCCTAATAAATTTGATACAAAGCTAAAAGACAGATGTAGTGACTAGTGCAGAAGGATAGAGGCTCACTCACATATGGGATCTCGGCTTTGCGGTTTCGGTCCACCACGTCCTTCAATGCAGTGATGTTCCCGTAACCCCTACGGCTGAGCTGGAATCCAAGGCTCCAGAAAGGAGGTAAGAACGGTCTTCCAATAAGCTGGAAACATAAAGATGGCATTTAGAATAAGCACTCTTCCATGCGATGGGAAAGGCTGCGGTTAGGGACCTCTCTAAAGTACTCAAGAGCAACGGTGTCTCTTTGGAGACTAAGGTGCACCTGATACAGGCCATGGTCTTTGCAATCACTTGTTATGCATCAGAGAGTTGGACAATGACTAGGGAGGATAGAAGGAGAATTGACGCCTTTGAGCTGTGGTGCTGGAGAAGAGTACTGAATGTGCCATGGACTGCCAAGAAAACAAACAGATTCATCCTAGAGAGGGTTAAACCAGGCTACTCCTTGGAGGCAAGGATTCTGGGGCTTCGTGTGACATACTTTGGACTTGTTGTAAGGAGAGACAGGTCTTTAGAGAGGGACATCATGCTGGGTAGAGTGGAGGGACAGCACAGAAGGGGAAGACCGTCTATGAGATGGATTGATTCAGTGACTGGGATAATCGGGATGGGAGTGTCAGAGGCAATGAGATTGGCACAGGATAGAGCATGGTTTAGGGCTGTTGTACATAGGGTCACTATGAGTCGCAAACGACTCGACGGCACATAACAACAACAACAACAACTCTTCCATGAGCACCCTTGGCACTTGGAACATTGTTTCCATCTCATTGTCTATAAATTTACTGGATCCATAGCATCCGAATTGAGAGTAATCCCGCAGGATGATTTGTGCAAGACTATAACTCACATCTCCCTTCCCTAACTACTCAGAGGTGTTACCAAGAAATACAGTATCAGAAAGTGACAAGAGCTCGCAGAAACGCTTGCATTAAAGCATAATTTGTGGAAGTGGTTACTGCTATTCATTCATTGATTCGATGAAGGTTTTTGTGAGTGTTTAGGATGTGAGACATAGAGGTAGATTAAGCAGATGGCTTCTTCCCATGGAGCTTTTCATTCTGGGGGGGGAGTGCACAGAGGAAGAAGGAAGTAAGCAAATGTCTTCTAAATTAGGATGAAGGTGGAGGGACTGAAGGAATTGGGAACGGGATGGGAGAAGCTGGAAGAGAATGTGTTTAAGATCAGGTGTTCCTACTAGGCTTATTAGATATCCCATTTAAAGGAGCTCTGGCGGTGTGGTGTGTTACATGTTGTGCTGCTAAACCACAGGTCAAAAGTTCGAATCCAGCAGGTGTCCCACAAAGGACAGGTGGGCTGTTTTCTCCTGTAAAGATTTGCAGCCTCGGAAACCTGATGGAGGGCTGCTGTGAGATGGAATTGGCTGACGGCAGTGGGGAGTGACGTGTGAGTGAGGCTTCCTCCCAAGTCAGGGAATTGTGACATTTCCTTCAGCACAGGTCTTCTTCCTCCTGCAATCCCTGCATGGTAACTCAACTAACAGCTTCAAGTGCAGTCAGGGATGCCTCAGAAGACAGGCCGACAATCTCCTGGAAAGCCAGCATTGAAACCCCACAGAGCACAGTCTGTGCCAGCTGTGTGGTGTGGCCATGAGGCAAGGCAACACAAGACCACTCAGTCCCTTCTCTTCCCATTTGACTGTAAATGCTCTGGTCTCTGACCGTGTTGCCTGCACCCTCACGGGTCATCCTGAGCACATCACACCACCTTTCTGCACCCGAGTTTTCTTATCTGTAATAGAAAGTCGAGACTCCATCTTGACCCATTTCTTCCTGCTGTACTTATTTGAATTTTTAAAAAGATAGAAAAGCCGTTTCAACAGCAAGCACAGAGCCTTTCACTCTGTTCTTTGACTCTGAACTTTGCAGGCTGGATTCGTGAACAGAGGTTGTGACGTGTGTCCTCAGAGCTCTGGGAGCACCAGGGGCCCCTTGGAGAGGCGATGGCATTGGAATTCGACTTGCTTTTGGATTTATGGAAACATGCCCAGTACTTCTCTTCTTCAGAAAGAGTCCAATCAATGTCCAGTCACCAAAATCAATGTCCAATAAATGTTACTGGTGTCATGTATCATCGTGGCTGGTACACATGGACTCGTAGCTGACCTTCCAGCAGGTTTTCGGAGACAGTTAATCACATGGGAGATTGCCCATCTTTCTCCCAGGGAACAGCTTGGATTTGAACCATGTGCCTTTGGGTTGGCAGCACAACTCTTCACCATCAAGCCACCAGAGCTCCGGTCCCATCACTGATCTTCTGGACAGGTGTCTGTACATGTTTTTTCCTTTCCTCTTATTACTTTGCTTTGAGGGTGTGGGGTGAGGAGCCCGTACCTCCAGGTACTCTTGAACGACCTTCTCTGGGGTGCTTCCCACGAACACGTAGAAGTCAAGAATTCCCCCGATCGTACGATAGGTGATGGCTGGAGCCGGCTGCAGGGTGACCTCTGAAAACATGTGAGGGACAGTTACCGGAACCTCGGGGTTGAAAGCGTGCTCTCCCGGAAAGTGACCAGAGCAGCTGTGTAAAATGCACAGCTTAAGCCTCACGTTACAAGAGATGGGAGTTACACAGAGTTTCTTTGAAAGGGGGTGTCATTTTTGTTTTTAACAGAAAGAAGAACACATTTTCTTTTCATCTGGCCACATGGGTTTACTAATGAACTGACCTTAAAGGAAAAGCTTTAAAGTCTTATTAAATGTCTCTCCACTTTAACAGTAATTGTTATGGAATCCATTCTGAGCCATCGTGAGCAGAGTGCCCGAGTGGGACTGTTCCTCAGGATTTCATCGACTGTCACCCTATTGACTGTCAAAAGACATGGGCCTTTCTTTTGGGTGGAGATAAACCCCCAGCCTTTGAGTTAACAGTCAGCTGTAAACCATATGCACCACCTAGGCTCTCTCCAAACACCAAATCCACCGCTGTCCAGGAGGGCAGAGTCCTCACCCTCCTAGAGGGCAGACTAGAACCTTCCCACAGGGTTTCTGAAGCTGTCATTTTACAGAAGCCGACTGCCACATCTTCCTCCCTCAGGGCTGCTGGTGGGTTCAAACCACCAACCTTTCTGTAACCAGTGCATCATTTTAACCATGAGCCACCAGGGAGCATGATAAATCCAGAGACTGGAGGATAAAAGCCCTGGAGGGAGGAAGAACAGCCATGGCCAAGGGCCTGAGGAGTACAGCCTTGCCGTTCACACACTGACCGGGTGCGAGCAGTGACAGCCACAGCCAACTCGGAAATGGTCCGAGGTGGGTTCTGCAATCTGCAAGCTCTTATGGGAAACATGGGTCAAAGCCACACTCTGGAGCCATTTGCAATAAAGACAGCACTGAGGTACATGAGCTAGGTCTGCAGACAGGTTGCACTGGGCCCGTTTCTGCAGAAGTGCTGGAGCTCCGATGCACCTCCTGCTCAGTGTGGGCTCACCGAGGACCTTTCATGAACGTATCCTGAATCCTGCCCAGATCAGAAAAGACCCCCTACCCATAGCGTTGCTGTTCATAAGAAGAACTCCGAAGGAGGCTCCGCTGGTGTCTTCCAGGCACAAGAAGAAGGGATGAGCCCCGTACAAATTAATGCCCTGTCAGCACAAAATCAAGAAATAGCGTGAATTTAAAATAGTCTAACTCATGCCAAGATAACCCCCAAACTGCCCAGCAAGAGCCTGATGACTGCCCCGGAGCAGGGAGGGGGTGCCCTGGCTGTGGTTAGAAGCTGGGCCCTGGACAACTGCTGCCCAGGCGCCTTTGTGACTCTACAGCAAGGCTCTAGCCTTATGCTGTGTCTCAGAACTGGAACAAAAGGCTGGCGACCACGTGAACTAGCTACGGCATATCCCCGCTGTGGAGTATTCAGTACCAGCACTGCACTCTACAGCACAACAAGTCACAAATGCATGGAGCTAAGTGCAAAGGCAGACTCAAGACAATGTCCACATCGTTCCACTCATTAAACTCCAGTAAGGTCTGTCTTAGGAGACATAACTGTTTGGGGAGCACTAAGGGGGCGAGGCAATAGCCTCAATCCTATCATCCTTCCAGCCTCTTCTAAGGACAACCCCCTTGGGTAGAAGACCTTTTATCTCTCCAGAAGTAAGAAGAGAGAGAAGTGATTAGAGACGCAGGGGGAGGCAGACAGTACTGACTATCCCAGGGACTGTTCAAAGGACAAACAGCCAGGTCTTGGCAGGCGGACAGCTAAGGTGCTTCTGGGAGACGAGGATGGTGAGACTTCATCTCACATTTTGGGGCAGGTCATTAGGAGGGCCCAGCACGTGGAAGAACGCTCTGGTGGTACAGTCCATAGGACATTGCACCACTAACCCAAGGCTGTAGCCTCCGGTGGTTCGAATCCACTTGTCACTGTGACACAGGAGAAAGATGAGCAGTCTCCACCCAAACACGACACAACCTGCAAAACCTGCTGATTTGTCGGGTGAGCTGGTTCCATTCATGGTGATGAAGGAAGGAGTCCTGGGATGAGGACATCATGCTTGGAAAGGCGGAGGAAGGGTCTGGCAGGACACGGATTAATACAACGGCCACAACAAATTCAAGCACAGATTGTGAGGACGGCACAAAAGAGGGCAGGGCTTCTACCTGTTGGAGAAGGGACCTCCTCGTCCTGCTGTCATCAAAAGCATCTAACAACAACAGTGGGTTTCTAGTTGCAAACTTGAACCTCCAAGGACAAATATCCCTCAATAGAAACAGACTGAAAAGTAGACATCTTTCTCTGTGGGCGACTCTGGGCACAGCAGTGGGCAGCGGGGCAGGGGCCTCACCGTGGTGGGGGTGGCGTCCCGAGTGAAGATGGGCCAGGTCTTCCAGTCCATGCTGTGACGGTACTGCTGGTGCACGTGCTCCCCCAGCCCATACACGTTGGCGCTGGGCAGGCGGAAGGACAGCTGCAGGTACTGCTGGGCAAACAGGAGGGGCCCGATGCTCGTGTCCAGCCTGGGCGTGGAGAGAAGGAGTCAGCCCGCAGCTCTGACAACCCAGCAAACAGCACGCTGCCTTCCCCTCAGTCATGACCGTATCCATTTTCTTAGGTCAAGTATTTCCCACCTCACAGTCCACCCATTTAGAATCAGTGAGCTCAGGACTGTGTTTATGCAAAAATAAGGAGCCCTGGTAGCACAGTGTTTAAGCCCTTGTCTGCTAACTGAAAGTTGGCGGTTCAAATCCACCAGCTACTACAAGGGGGAAAGTGACAGACCCCAGCAGATGGCACCCTGGCAATCCCATGGGGCATGTCCTCTCTGTCCTGTGGGGCTGCTGTGAGACGGAATCAACTTGAGGACTTGAGGACAGAGGGTTAAATGCGATGCCAGGTGGGTTGGTGGTGTTGTGGCTAAAGTACTCAGCTGCTAACCAAAACGTAATGATTCAAACCCATCAGCTTCTCAGTGGGAGGAAGCCGAGGCAGTCGCCTTCAGACTGAAGGATTCAGACTCACTGCTGATGAGGGTGCAAGCCTCCAGCAGCTGTGTGAGGCTGTAAATCTTAAAGACTGTCTGTCTTCCTCCAAAGGATCTGTTGGTGGATTTGAACCACCAGACATAGGAACTTTTCAGTTAGCAGGAGCTCCAGAGCTGTTCTCAGCCTCGGAGCCTTGGTGGCCCAGTGGGCAGTTCTGCCCTGTCCTTCAGGGTCCTTATGGGTCATAGTTGCACAATTGATGGGAACATAGGATTCTTCTTTTTAAAGTCACAGAGACCATAAAGCAAAACTCACAAGACTTTGTTATTGCTTGCCCTCTTTATTTTGATGCTGAAGGGCTTATGAACGACTTCCAAGTGATAGCTGAAATTTGAGCTATTGGCCGTCTGTGTCTGAGAGTTAATATGTTCATGGTAGACTTCATAGCGTTTGTTATTGAAGTCGGTGATCTGTTGGAAAGAAAACAGAGACACAGTTTCAGAGAAAGCCGCTTCCTTGTAGAACGGCAAATGGCCCTTTCTCAAACGCACCCCATAAGAGTGTCTCCCGTGCTCAATCCTGTGACTTCTAATTTGTGAGCAGAAACCACTCAACCACAGCCTACCGTCAAATAGAAGTCAGCCAAGATCTGATAGAGTTGACACCCTATGACCTGTGACTCCACATTCAACCACACAGGTAGGACTCTAAGGTGAACAGTAACGCTCATTTAAACAAAACCCACATGAGATCTAACGACAGCATTGGTCCAGGAGAATCAAGTTCAGAAGGCAGAAAAGGGTCAGAAGGGAGGATGACTAGAAGAGGTCAACGCGGGGAGGGGGTGGGAGCAGTGCTGTTATGTCGTGAGTGAGGTGATCCACGCAGTGCATCAGAGGTTTGGTGGGTGGAGGGATGGGGGGGTGGGGGAGGACCTGGGCCGGAAGACAGGGTAATGATGAGAAAGGTCCAACGGTGATTAATTGTATAAAATAGAATGCATGAGAATGATTGTATGAAATGCAGCGTGAATGAAAAATAGTGGGGAATAGAATGTGTATGAACTTTGTAAGCAAATCAGTGGGAAACGTGTGTGAATTGTCGAATAGGAACTCTATCTCATCTGTAAACTTTCATCCAAAACACACTAAAATGTATTGAATAGCACGCCAGCCATCTAAGAATGCAGTCAGGTTCCTGAGGGGAGGAAGCCCTCTGCCCTCCCCACACCCACGGGTTCCCTAGCAGAGAAGGAGCAGAGCCTCACGGAGATCTGCCGTCTTCACACACCTCCAGGGGGTAGTCACCGAACCAACCTTAAAACGGATCCGATTGGCCGTCTGGTGGTCAGCGCTGAACAGGGCGCTGTGGATATCACTGCCGAACAGCGTCGGGGACGGCAGCCTACTGAGCCTGAGGTTCCACTCTGGGGACAGAGACGAAGGGTCTTGATTTGTGGCCCAGTGTGCTGTCCCCTGGGGCAGGGGCAGCGCAGGGCTCGCTCACCTGTGCTTTCAGAGTCCGGGGTGACCTCGTAGCCCCAGTTCCTGGGGAAGAAGCAGTTGGGGACACTGGCATCCGCCACAGGGTTCCAGCAACACTGGCGCTGCCAGATGCAGACTTCCTGTAGAAATTGCACAGAGTTGAAATTGTAGAAAATGAAGACATCTTTATTCCTCACCCATTTTATATCAAGAAGACGTTTTTAAAGGCCACAATTGCATCACTCATGTATTAACTCTTGGTTTATTTGTACGTTTATCCAGCGTTTCTTGCCTGCTAGGTAAAAGCCTGATGATACAGATACGGAAGACACAGCCTTGGAACCTTCCTGTAAATCCAGATAATGACTGAGCAGCCAGCACCATGAGAGATAAATGATGCAACAGTGTGCTGAGCGGGAGGGAGTGTCCACACCAGGCCTGGAGCCCAGCTGACGGCTGAGCCTGGGCGGAAGGGTTCACCAGGCAGGTGAGAGGTAGCCAGGCAGATTAAAGCTCCCAGGGCCCTAGGCAGGTGAGCTGCGGGGAAGGTATTCAGGAGAAGATGCAATAACGCAGAGAACATACGTGACATGTTAAGAAAACTCATGAGCTCATCATGCCAAGAACATTGAATAAAACAAGTGAGGCCACAAGGAGAGTGTGGTCAGACCAGGGGTGACCACAGTGTTTGGCCAAGGAGGCTCTACATGTCATCCCAGGAAGGGTCACTAAAAGTAGGGTGTTGTCAACTGGTTTAAGGTAAACAAAAACAGAAAATAAAGAAAAGATGTCACTGCCTGGTAGAAAATATTTGCAAATCACAAAACTGACAAAGGACTTGTATTCAAAATATGCAAAAACCACCAAACACCCCTCTTGAGAAGAATCAACAAGAAAATAAACAATCCATTTACAAGGTAGGGGAAAGATATGAACAATTCATCAAAGGAGATACACAGACGTAAAACATTTTGAGAAAATCCGCCCACTATGATATGCCTGTTGTTCTGTCTGAGTACATTGATGCCAACTCCTGGTGACCCCAGAACTGCCCCAGAGTTTCCTAGACCATGATCTTTTGGGGAGCAGATTGCCAGGTGTTTTCTCTGTCAGAGCCACTGGTGAGCTTGAACTACTGACCTTCCATTTAGCAACTGAGTGTCTAAGCAGTGTGTCAGGGCTCCTTAGCCATGGCATTCCAAAATCTAAATCTACACTCACTACCATGAAGTCAGTTACAACTCCGAGTGACCCTAAACATCATGAACAAACTCAAGCTCATTGCTATCGAGTTGGTTCAGCATCACAGTGACGTTCAGCCTTACCCAGCCTTTGCTGGGTTGCATTGGGAACACCTGCTGTCAAGGACCTCTTAAAAAGGCTGCAGAGCAAGGATGCCAGATTCCAGAAGAAGGTGTGCCTGATCCAAGCCATGGAAGGCTGCTTTCTGTCCATCTAAAAGTTGGATAATGAACAAGGAAGAACTGATCCTTTGAATTATACTGTTGGACAAGAGTATTGAATACGCCATGAACTGTGAAAAGGACAAACACATCTGCCCTGGAGGAAGTCCAGCCAGGGTCTCCTTAGAGGCCAGGACGGTCACGTTCACTTCACACACTGCGGGCTTGTGGTTAGGAGGGCCCAGTCCTTAGAAAAAGATATCATGCACAAAGGCAGTGAAAGAGAGGAAGGCCTTCAATGAGATGGACTGACATCATGACTGTACCAAGAGGCTGGGGCGTGTCTGAGACCCTGACAATGGTGCAAGTCAGGGCAGGGTCTAATCTATCCATAGGGCCACTATACAGCAGAGTCAACTTGACAGCACCTAACGACAACAACAGAAAGTGGGAAAAGCTCACAAAATTGTCTACAAAAGGTAAACTAAACTGTGGCATATCTGCACTGTTGTTGTGCACCTTCAGTTCAGGACCAATCCATCACAAACCCTCCTGCAGGTTTTCAGAGGCAGTGATCACACAGGAGGTTTCCATCACTCCCCTGCAGAACACCTGGTAGATTTGAACCACAAGTATTTGGGTTGGCAGAGCGACTCCTTACCACTAAGCCACCAGGGGTCCCTCTTACTCATGTGGTTGCTGCTGCTGTTGTTGTTGTTGTGTACTGCAGGTTGGAACCGACCCAGAGCTGACTCTCCAGCGGGTTTTTAGAGGCCAATAAGCACACAGGAGGAGACTGCCCATCCTTCTCCCACAGAGCAGCTGACGGCCTCAAACCCATGCCTTCAGGGTTACAGGGCAGCGTCTTGCCACTAGGCCACCAGAGCTTCCTTACACTCACCCATATAATGGATTATTATTTAATGAAAAAAAGAAAAGAATGAAAAACCAAACAAACAAAAGATATACCTCACGCCAAAAAAATTCACCATCATTTTCTAGTCAGTTTCTACTCAGATACCCCTCCCCAGTGTCCAAGGCTGTACAAGTTTACGGGAGAAGACTTCCCACTTTCCTCCTAAGGAACAGCTGCATATTTGTTTGTTATTTTTTTAATAAAACCAGCATAAAATAAAAATTTTATTAAAAAAAAAAGACCATGGCTTGGGTTGGGTGAATCACTAATCTTTTTTTATTCTCCCAGAAAAATTTAACAAGTTTATTTATAATTGTAATAAGGTTGAACTGCTGAAATTTGTTTATGGAAACATTTCTTTTTACTTGCAATAATGCTTTATGTACCCACATTTACATTAGAAATTCAAACACAAACAAAAATGGAAAGACTACCAATACTTGATTTCTGCCCCTAATCTTTTCATTGTCAGCACAACAGGAAATACACAGTAAAACATGAAGGAAACTTAAAAACTTGAGTAAGAGAAGTCAGTCTGACATAATACACTGAATAATTTCCACTGTATACTGTTTTAGAAGAGACAAAAGTATAGACAGGGAGGATTCCTTGAGGGACAGAGAACTCAGACACTAACGCAAAGGTCAATGGTTTGAGCCCACTAGCTGCTTTGTGGAAATCTGCTACTGTTAAGATTACAGCATTGGAAACTCAACTGGCTAGTTCCACTCTGTTCTACAGAGTCACTGTGACCTGGAACTGACTCAAAAGCTATGAGCTGGTATGGTTTTGGTCTGGTTTGTTTTTCTATTGAGTCAGAAGACAGTGACTGCCAGGACCCTAGTTAGTGGCCATCAGAGATTAACACAGCATTTTAAGGGCAGGTAGATCATTCTGCACGTCATTGCCGTGGTAGACATGAATTTGTCTAAACCTATGCAGTATTCAGCAGAGTAAGTGGAAATGTGAACTATGGACTTTACGTATGAATAGTGGTTCACAAGTTCTAATAATTGCACCTCACCAGTGCGAGATATTAGTGAGCTGAGCAGGAAGAGGAAGAGATCTCTGTGAACTCTGCACTTTCTATGTAATTTTCCTAAAAATCTGAAACTTTGCTAAAAATATCTATTAATCATAGCATAAAAGAATATTTTATGTTTTAAAAGTAAGGAAAAGTAAAGCAGAGGAAATTAAGACAGAACTAAGAGGGCAGATGACATAAAAAAATAAAAAATCTCCAAAAAAAGTAAAAATAAATGGCACGTGACTTCTAAGAGTGGCCTAATATACAGTTGTACTGTTATTTCGTAGGACATATATTCTAAATACCCTTCAATAACCACTAACTGTCTTAGGTAAAAGATAAGCAAAATAGGTGGTAGGTTGATCAATTTCTTTGTCATGAGTCCTCCCACCTAAAATTTACTTGAACTGACAATTCTACCACAAAGAAAAATAGCTACAAATCATTAAAATGTAGTAAAGAGAATACAAGATGGCATACCAAATATGTTAGCAAATTATTTAATCATAGAAAATAGACTTTATCTAGAGAAAGTATTTTCAAAAACAAAACTGAAGCTTGAGAAAACCATTCCAAGGTGAGAGCTAGCATGCAGGGGAAGGAGAAAATAGCTTGACGTGCAGTTTGGGGTAATTAATTTGTAAATTCTACCTTGCTTGTGTAAAAGATCAAAGATTACAACCATCAACATGGATTATATCTCAGTATGAAGGCAGCAAAAATTCTCACCACCAACAGGCCACTAGGCAACATCATGATAGATGGGGAGATGGAGAAGTGATATAAATTGTCAATGATTCCATCTTGCCTGGATCCACAATCAGTTCAGTTAGCATCAGCAACCAGGAAACCAAAAGACATCGTATCGGGAAAGTCTGCTGTCAGGGGCTTCTCCAAAGTGCTGAGGAGCAATGATATGTCAGTTTGAAGCCTAAGATATTCTTGATTCAAAGCATAATCTTTTCCATTTCTTGTTACGCAGGTAAAAGTTGGACAATGAATAAAGATACCAGAAGAAGAATTGACGCCTTTGAGTTGCAGTGTTGGAGAAGAGTGCCCACTGACAGCCATAGGATATGAACTATGTCTTGGATAAGGTGCAGGCAGTATTCAGTGAAAAGGAAAAGAAACAAGTGTCTACTCCACCAACTCAAAATATTTATTCAGTGTCTATTTTCTTCCAAAGATCCCTGGTAGGTCCTCTGCACTTGACTACCAAGTACAGTGCAGGCTGTTCAAACCATCTGCTGCTATTCCACAAGGGAAGAACGTGTCAGACAAGGGATGGAAAGAATGAGTTACTCTGAGGTATTGTACTGAATGTCTAAAACAAGATATGTGTGAACTGGTTCACTGGAAAGTCACTTTGCTCCAAAATCTCTTATTCAGATGACAATTTAAAAAGAAAGAATACTGTTTTTCAAATGACCAGATTTTCAAGTCTCATCGAGACTGGTGGAACCTCTGAGACTATGATCTTTAGTTACCCCTCAAGCTTGGAAATGAAATCACCCCAAGACTCTTCCTCCATCCAAACAGTAGATAGAGTTGTGACATGATTAGTAACACCAGGGGGGAAAGCACTCCTCAGGACAATCAACCACCTAAAATCAAAGGGGCCACATTTGCTCCAGGACAAGCTGAGAAGGTGGGAAAGAAAGAAAGAAATATGAGAATTGGAAGCGTAGAAAAAGTGGGTGGAGAGCTGTTACCATGGGGACGGGGCTGGACAGGGAGGATAATCAGTGACAGGAGACACAAGGTGTAGAAATTGTTGAGTGGAAAAGTCAATGT